AGTCAGGCGAAAAGGAAGAAAACCTTCGAGGGTGCTGGCGGCCAATGTGACCGAAAAATTTTACCTTCTGAAAAAAAATGGTTCCGTTTTGTCGAACCAGCTGGTACTCAAATGCCAACAGCCTGTGTTCCTCAATCTCACTGCAATGCTAAAAGACCCGGATGGTTGGATGGACATCACCCTAATGTGACGCAAGGTGTAGTAAACATGAGGGTTTGCTTTACTTCTGAGAACGACTGCTGTGGTGATCAGATATTTATATCGGTCAAGAATTGTGGCGACTTTTTTGCATATGGACTGGTAAAACCAAGGAGTTGTGGACGATATTGCGGAGAATAAACATTCGCTGTGCTTTAGCAGCCAAAGAAATAAAACGAGACAGGGGGAAGGGTTGCAAAAATGTACTGTGAAGGGGAAGCATGCTCCCAAAAGGAGGGTCTCACTAGGGTGATGACTTTTTCTGCTAACGGTTGAACTTTTGGCCATTTTACGGCTAATAAATCATTTGACACGGTTCACTTTTCTTACAATTAATGGTTAACATTTGTCTATTTGTAAGCCAAGCGGCTTAATTTTCCCAGTTTACGGCTCACGTTTAATCCCATTGAGGCCGCCTTAGAAGGTATTGCGCCACCTTCTTCGTCAAAACATTTTCGCACAATTATGACACTGCACGTCTTTTAAGCTTCGCAAAAAATTTCTACCTTGATAAAATTTGCTTTCTAAAAAGTGGAAAAAATTTAGTATTGTTCACCGCCATTTTGAACCTTGCTTAGCAACATGACCGCCTACCAATAGTAGTTTCTTGTAACAGAGTGTTACATTCTATTTCCTTCTATGATAGACCTTTAAACAAACAAACAAACAAGCAAATGAATGAATAAGTTGATTTACTAATGTAGTTCATGTCTCGATAGTTACAACCAAATAATTGAATTGTTTTCAAATTGGGGGCTTCGGGGTGTTGAACTTTGGTGCTTTTGAAGACAAATTTCGAAAGTGTGTGTCATATGCAACAAATTTACGACAGCCTATAGGTAGATTTTATCATATAATTCTAAACACAAAGACAATCCGATTGAAATCAAGCTTTCTTGAAAAGAGTTACCTTTATGACGTTTAAATCGATGCTTTTGGTGTAAAACGTTTTGACTATTCTTGGGTTAATAAAGCGCTTCGTAGCGTTAGACTCAGTCTTTTATTCGCACTTAGTGAGCTCATGTTGTAGAGCGCTGGACTCCCGTGCGGAAGGTTGAGGGTTCAAGCCCCAGACCGGACTAACACTCATGGTCTTGAAATAACTGAGGAGAACTTTTAGTCTTTGTTAGAACCATTGAGAAATGGTAGGACACTCTAGCCTTCTCGGAGAGGACGATAAACCTTTGACCCCGTTCCCTTAACCTTAACCCTTTGTACTTGTTGAAGGGTGCACTTCTCGCAGAGAGTTGAAAACGTAGTTCTTAGTGTCAGCTCCCACTCCCATTTAAACTAGCTCTAAAGCAGAACAGAACCAGCCTGTTTAAATGTCGCAATAAATCACCAATTATTTTTTTAAAAATTGACCATTCCACGGCGGACGTCAGAGCCTCTGTTCAATGTTGGAGAGAGAAATTTCTCAAAAAAGAAACCTAATTCATTACAATTCTATGAAAATGTGTCAATAAGCATAAACAATTGTAAACGTAAACGTGCTCGGTCGTAACGCTTGCGCGCTTGCGTGACTTACAAAGTAAGGAAAGGGTCGGAAAGCGCCTTCTCGATAATTTTCGTTGAAATGTCACGTCATGAACAACGCACAGTGTGGAAAAGATCAAAATTAAAGAATAAAATTTGGCACTCTGGTTATTAAAGACGTATTGCATGGCTTAAAAGGACACGCAAACAAGTTAAAATACATCACAGTATTATTTACGAAACAACGCGCAACACTCAGAAAGAATTCTTGAAGTTTCTCCCGAGATTTAGCGCACGGAACGCGATGAAATAGCCTTCCTTTCTGAAAATTTGCTTCCATCGTTAATGATTTTACGATGTCATGGACCAAAACTCTATTGAACGACAAACTCGACATATCCCTGCGACCATCAAACCCAGCGTGATGCATTGCGTGACGTAATTATGCTAATTTTTTCACGTCATTTGATCTGTTTCGCGGGTTATTTTAAGTGAACCCAAATTTAGCTGATATAACAAATTAGAATAAAAGGTCATCATCTTTTATAATGTTTACTTGATTCACGGAAAGCAAAGGTTGTAATCGCTGCGGGTATTTCAGCCCTGAATTCTGTCCTGGACTGCCGGGTGACGTATGGAGTCATTTGAACTATAAGAAGCTATTCAGCGAAATCCTCAAGCACGAGTTAATTTAGTTTCGTTCTGATCATTCTAGCCTCGAAACGGAAATTGGTATGGTCTAATTAAACATCGGAACTCTTTGGTCTTATTTCAACTACTAGCTCCGTAGTGTTCATAGCTGCGAGGATCTCTTATATTCGTTTCTTCACCGCAGCGCATATATATGATTTTCATATATCTACAATCATTATTCTTTGGGAAACATTGGAAATGCGGAGAAAGTACTTGTTGATACCGAGTCACGTGAGAAAATGTAAGACAGTGAAGAGGGACAGAATGTTTAACGCCATTTGTCGTAAAAACTGCCAGCAGATTGTTATTGAACTGACCTTAATTTACTATGAAGGTATTAACTTTCTTTTGTTGCGAACCACGTGTCCTAACCCCTTTTCGTGGGCAAAAAAAAAACCTTTTTTTCGACGGGAAGTCGAGGGAACTACTTTGGTTCCAATTCTTAACGGATTAAAGCAATTTCAATCAACGTCTTAACAACAACAACAACATTTATTTAAACACGATAAAAATTACAGCAGAGCTGATGTGGTCGTGTATTTTGCACTCATATTTCGGAAATAGCTTCATAATAGGAACGGGGAAGAAGTTATAAAAACAGTCGTGTGCTAACATGAATAATCTATATTCGTATAAACCTTTAACAGTGGGCCACTTGAGAATAAAATACGTCTGCAGACGTGTCAAGTTTGAAGAACCAAGCAATGGCTTTGCCTTGGTGGGTCATGTCTTTGTGAGTATTACGTTAATCACTAGGGCACACATGAATAACCACCGCAAAAATCAATGTATCATGGAAAAAAGGTGTCGATCGATCAACATAGAAATACAAGTCTCGATGGTAAACGAAGCAGTACTATTGGAGCCATTCATTATACTCGATTAAAATGTCAAAGAAATGCTGATATGGTCATAGTCTTGGCTGGATGACAAATGTGAAAAAAAAACTATAAAATGAGAAACTTTGACAAAACTTTAGACTCAAAGGTAGAATGAAAACTATGAGTATACAAGGTTCCATCTAACAACCTATATCATCTTTCTTACAGAAACCAAAATAGCAAATGCAAAAAAAGTTAAAAAGGAAAAATTTAGCTTAGCTACAACGATATCAAGTACCCGTGGCATGCATCCAAACATATCAATTATGATATATGACTAATAGAAAAATATGTTGTTTTAATCCTCAGGAAAATTGTGATATGGCGATGAAATGCGAAGCAAGTAAGCTCAATAACATAGCTTGGCGACATTTTTCAATAAACCTCCTTAGGCCAGTGTATTTCAGAGTGTGAGAGGCTGGTTCAGGTTAAGGGAAATCAGTTGCTGGCTGGTTTTCCAAATCAGCAATATTTCAATCGATAACAATACCTGAGAAATACAGTTTTTCATCTTGGACTATTGTTAATTTTAAAAAGTGATGACAGATTTCTTGTTCCAGCTAACCTGTAACGCATGAAAACATTTTTTCTCTCCAGCCATTAACGTTGGTCATAGCAGTGAAAGTTACAGCCACAGTTGCAATAGCAGTAGCAGTAACAGTAGCAGTGGCAGTGGCGGTGGTGATGGCGGTGGTGATGGCTTTGGCGGTGACGGTGGTGATGGCGGTGGTGATGTTGGTGGTGATGGCCGTGGCGGAGGCGATGGAGGTAGCGGTGGCGTTGGTGATGCCGGTGGTGATGGTGGTGGTGATGGCGATGGCGGTGGCACTGTTTGAGGTGATGGCGTTGGCGGTGGCACCGGTGGTGGTGATGGTGGTGGTGATGAGGGTGGAGGTGGCGGTCGTGATGGCGGTGACCGTCACCTTTTTCTTCTAGCCTCTCGCTAGAAGCAAAAGGTGATTATAATCGTATGCCACAAAACTTACTTAATTTCACTTTTTTTTTATTCTGCACGATAATGACGTTCGCTAACCAAGATGTTTGTAATTTAACTTATTTAAGAAGTTGTTTTTTGGTTAAATCCCCTTAGTTATAGGATGTGATTTGCTCTGGCGCCGTTAAAGGTAATGTTTTCTTAAGTGATCGTCGTAGAAACGATCCTTTCGGCTGAAACCTTAAGGAAGAACTTAAGAACGTATATCTTATTTATAGACCATTACCCTTTACTTTCCGCTAATCAAAACGAACTACCTCATTGGTTGCTTTCACACTCCTCATTTTTTTACTTGGAAACACCTACCATCCCATTGCACAGTTCTAGTGCCGGAAAATACGTAACTTCTGCTCTGACATAATCTTGACTGCCTCCTAATTGGTGCTTTCTCTATCATGTCTATATCATTATGGTTCGCACGAAGTATTAGAAGTTTCTGTATACTTACTGGCAAAGTAAGAGGGCCAGATGGAAAACATCATCTCTTTTCACTGTTCTTCGTTGAGCAGCACTGCATAATACATAATACTACATAATATATACTTTCAAACAGGGGAGATTAGAATTTTTAATCCTAGATCAGTGTCACCCGCCTTTCGAACAGGTAGGATCCCTGGGTTTTTGTGTATCCCATGATTTTATTTTTATTCTTAAGAATATTCTCCTTCGAAACTTTTCCTATAATTTGTCGCGAAAACATAAGAAATATTCAGCTGAATATATATTTCATTAAGGCTACGCCGAGAAAATTGAAAATTTTTTTTGTTTGCTTCCAGCGCTCCTAGTGCGTGTGACCACTTCTAAATTAAAATTAAGTCGCCACTGTTGGTTGTGTTTCTTAATTTTCCTTCTCTCTGTTCTATTCGTTCAGTGTAATCTCACATTTTTTCCATAATGACTACTGGTCAAAGCAAGATTTTAGTTTGATAAGACCGCTCTACAGATATTCCAAACGGTTACCTCAAGCATTCTACTTGTCACTTCATTTGCGGTTCGACCCCTTTGAGATTTTTGCAAACTTAAACCTTTATGTTGCGTAATATCAACGTATGGGAAAATTTTTATTGCTTTTATTTAATAAAAGGTTGCACTTTCCTTTTCCTAGCTGAGGAATAAGTTTGGATGAGAAAGTGGAATTATTGTTATTTAAACTTAGAACAATAAAACCTTGAGCCAATCGCGCGGTGGAATTCATTCCAATGCATCTGATAATTCTTTAATCCATCGAAAGACCTTACAATATGAAAGAAGATTTTAAAACTTGGAACGTCGCAAATCCGTTTTGTAGGCGTTAATAAAAGTTAAATTTTCCGTGGGAAGGGTAATTGGATTCCGATAAAATTCAATTTTATCGCGCGATAAATGGGAAACTTGCTAGGTCGTACGTAATCGGCTGTCACGCCCGTTGTTTCAATGGATGACAATGGCTGCAACAGTTGAGGAGGTATGTTTTGGAGACAATAGTTTCTTTTATTTCGTGAAAACATCACTGAGTATTCCTTTGCAATACTTCTATGACACACAGCTCGGTGAATCAATACAGTAAACCTTGATTTTGCGAAATCTTACAAGACACTCTCAGAGATGACTGTCAGTGTCTGAGAGCAAGTGGGAATTATCTAATCTTTCTGACTACCATTGCAGGTTTTTAAATTTCTAAATGTCACTTCTGTATCCCCAACCCCATTAAGAAAGTACTTTTCCAACTATTGCAGCCATTGTTGTCTCTTTTGGAAATAAGGTGCGTGACAGCCGATCACATGCGACCTTACAAGTTTCCCATTTATCGCGCGATAATTTTTCATTTTTAATTTCCATTTATCGCGCCATATTTTGATTTTATCGCGCGATGTATCTCATTTATCATCTTTGTCAATAATTACTACTTATCGTTAAGATAATGATGTCAAGGGTTGCAGGTCAACTTTGCACTCTATCAATACCACCTGCTGTTGCAGTTGGTGAAAAATCTGAACTGGTATGTTTCTTACCTCTTTTGTAGTTTTTCGAATTCTGATAAAGATTTTTCAATGATGCAAGATGAAGAAAAGAATAAGAGAATCCTGGAAACATGAGATCTCATGCATGGACTCCGGGTGGGTTAACGGGAACCAGCTGCTCGTAAAGACAAATACTTTCCCAGGAACAGAGTAGGAATTTCAGACTTCCCAAAAATACCATTAAACTCCAAATATTTCGAGTGACTCACAATATTGCGACCGAAACTTGACACACAGGTAGTTAAAAGGCTAGGAAAGGTCAACCCTAGGAAAAGAATAAAAATTGGGTTGGTGAATGGTGCTTAATTATTGCGTAATATGGCAAAAGCATCGCAAGGGCTCAAGTATCTGTATTAACTACTTTTGGTCCCAATTCCAAACGGATGAAAGCAAATCAACGTCTTCCTCAGCAAATTTCACTTATGAGCAAACTCTAGGGAGCGAAGTCAAAACTTTTTTATCGGGAGAACAAAATTCTGATTTCAGAAACCGTTTTTTTGGAAGTATGAGACACAAGACATTGTTAACATGAGGTGTGCTTCGAAAATAAAAAAAACTGCTGCTATTAGCACCAGTTTATTTCGTTTAAGAATTGCGGCTTATTTGATTGCTACGGTCTTTCGAAACCACCGGTTGGTCCTCTTCGTTATTATGGAAGGTATTAAATTATCACTAAGGGTAGGACAGAACTGATATCCATAAGAAACACTATATCAAAATACTCCTAAAAAGAACAAAACAAAACAAAACAAAGCAAAACACCCGCAAATATATTAAAATCAAAATTCTACCTGCATACTGCACTACTTAAAAAAAGGTCTTTTTGGCATTATATGATTATGTAAAAAAAGAAAGATTCCATTTTGCTCTATTTCCTTGAATCCTGAACTAAAAATGGGAAAAAAGAAAAAAATACTGCGTAGAAAAAGATTGACTTATTTACAGACTCGTAAAGTCTCTATTCAACGAAAATAATGAACAAAAAAAACACAAAAACAAAACAAAAAACAAAAAAACAAATGAATAAAATAGTAAAATATTGAACCATTCCAACCAGCACGTTATCCAGAGTAATCAGGAAAACAGTACCCAAAGGAAGTTATACATTATATAAAACATTTATCAGCTAATTTTATTTTCTCTTATTCTGAACTGAAAAAGGGAAAAAGATAAAAATATAATGATTCCCTTATTTACAGACTCGTGATAACAAATCCCCTCGACTTCAACTCGAGGATTATTCAACGCAATTCACTGAGACTGAGACTTGTAATTGTTAAATAGTAGATGGGCATAAATCATTTGGCCCCCAAAGCTATTTTGACGTGTGCCTGAAATTAGACAACGATAAATGTAAACGCTCACACATTGTTATGAGGGTGTATCACGACATACCTTTATAATATTCAACAGCCCTACAGAGGGAAAAATTCGAAATGAAAAGATGATTTCTCCCATATTCCTGGTAAGTCCAGGATTATATTTTTCCCACGTGAAAAAGAAGTATTTGCTTAGACTGTCTCCCTAGAACAAGATCAAAATTGATCCCAATAAGAAATCCTCTGTTTGCTATTCTGAAATGCGTGAGAAAGCTTAAATGTGTCGTGCCATTCAGGAAAAAAACGTAACACATCTTTATTCATCTTTTCTTTCTGCTTAAGAAAAACATTTACATCATTAAAAATTAAAGGAATACTTCCTTGGTCATAAAGCGTTGGTGTTACCATGTCGACACAGAGTCTTACATGTATTCATGCACGGTTAGGTGATGAACGTTTGTCAGAGATGATACAGCCATTAAAAACGCGGTTTCTCAGGTATGAGCGAATGGAGCTTCTGTACAGGCGAAATGTCTAGAATGAAGCTTTTCCTGTATCTGTTTGCCCTATTAGGAGGTTGCTCTCACATCCTCGCGACTGCAAACCAAGGTAGGTACAGTTCGGTATTTCTGAAAGGTAAATAATAATAAAATACATTGTTTGATTGTTTTTACATTTGAGATTTCAAAAATTACTGTAAGGTAATAATGGTCGACCTCAGTTTTTCCGAAGTCTCAGTCATAAAACTTCACGAGCTATTTTACTGTGTTACTCTCAAATACAAGTCACACAGTTTCTCGCTTTCTTTCTTTCGTTTGTTTGTTTGTTTTTCTCTGAAAGACTTGATTTCATCATCATTAACAAGAAAATCTTTCATTTGAAAAGCCTAGCTGGCAGGATCGTGATAACCAAACCTCACCTGATGGTTAAAAACTTTTTTCAAACAAAGTCTAGCCTATGAGTTGTCTTCTACTCCAATACAGACGTGCACAAAAAGTAAAAGAAGGAGACTCTGTAAGCAGTATATATTTAATTTTTTTTAAACTCTTTTCACTCTCAATATTTTAATTTCTTGTTAAAACCTTTATCTTTTAAGGGAAATAAAAAACTTCAGGCGTATAATAGATGAAAAAATTTCCTTAAAAAAGTAATCTGGAAATATTCGTGTTGTCTTGGTGTTTCCAACAAGAAGCCTAGGACAAGTTCTCTTCGAGCTTTCATCTAAGGTTCATTAGCTAAAGCTGGTCCATGTCGAGGTTGTAAAGCTCGTTGAAAGGACATGTTTTATAATTTTCAGAAATCTGCAGACGTGTCACGTTTTCAGAACCAAGCGATGGCTTTTCTTTGGTGGGTCATGTCTTTGCCAATATTACGTTATTTATTGGACCACGCATGAATAACCACTGCAAAAATCGATGTATCATGGAACAGAGATGTCGATCGATCAACATAGGCCAAGTAAGGAAAGACGAGGTCCTGTGTCAGCTGAGTGACTCGGACCAATCAAAACATCCGAAAGATATAAAACCTATGGATGACTTTCTATACTTGGGTATTGAGGTAAGAAGTCTTACCCAGTCGCTCACAAATCTAATACAAATGTCAAGTTCAGGATATTGTATGACATCAAATTCATATTCATAGAAGGACGTGAGACGTATGTCCAAAAGTGCAAAGAGATTTATGTTCAGAAATTGGAGAGGCAAGCCAAGACAAAAGAAAGTTGAAAGACTAAATACCTCACATATATTACTCTCCTGCGTAGATGTTTTTCCTGAGGATTAACGTTAGTTAATATTCATTTGGAAATTGTTTGAACTTTTGACGGGAGATTAATAGACGCCTCCTGTGCACGTGATTGAAATACAAGTCTCGATGGGAAACGATCGAAACAGTTCTTTTAGAGGCATTCGTTATACTCAGTAAATATATAGAGAGAATAATACATGGCGCGCGTAGATATAGAATTTCTCTCCGGCTGTTTATCTTGATAGCTCACGAGTGAGCGCAGCGAACGAGTGAGATGTTTACTTTGTATTGTTGCGCCTTCTCTCAGGGCTGGAAATCCTTGTATAACACCGTAGTTCGTATGATAATACAAAATAACCGATGGGGTCATGGTGTTGGTCGTATAACAAATGCGAAAAAAAAAAGAACAAAAAAACCTATGAAATAATAAACTTTGACAAATCCTAACACTCAAAAGGAAGAATGAGTACTGTAAGTATACAAAGTTCCATCTTACAACTTACGTCATGTCTCTCATGGAAATTAACATTAAGAAAAAAAAAGGAAAAAAAAGGGAAAACATACGGCAAGTTTAGCTAAAGCGACGTAAAGTATCCTTGGTTTTTATCCAAACATATCAATAATGATCTATTACTAATAGTTAAACATGTTGTTTTAATCCTTAGAGTAATTGTGATATGGCGAAACAATGCAAGGAAGGTAAGCTCACTAACATAGCTGAGGAAAATTTTCAACTAGCCTCGTTCAGCCAGAGTATTTCAAAATATTAGAGGCTGGCACAGCTCAAGAGAAAATCAGATGCTGGCTGTTTTTCGAAATCAGCAACGTTGTAGTAAGATGTTAATACCTTAAAAAGACGGTTCTTCATCTAAGAGTGTGAATTAAAGAAATAACGAGGACAGACTTCTTGTTATAGCTTATTTTTAACACATGACGACATTTATCTCTGTTTAGCGACAGTAGAACCTACTCGTCTAGATGCTCTTAATCGCCGCAGCTCTCAAGTCAGAGGCGTTACCAATGGCAACGAAAGTGTCAATGCCAGTGGCGGTGGCGGTGGCGGTGGCGGTGGCGGTGGCGGTGGCGGTGGCGGTGGCGGTGGCGGTGGCGGTGGCGGTGGCGGTGGCGGTGCCGGTGCCGGTGGCGGTGCCGGTGCCGGTGGCGGTGCCAGTGGCGGTGCCGGTGGCGGTGCCGGTGCCGGTGGCTGGAGGTGGCGGAGGCGGAGGCGGAGGAGGTGGCAGAGGCAGAGGTAGAGGCCGTAACGGTGACGGTGACCGTGATATATAAAGTTGTTAGACATGATTGCCCGCGCAAGCAGTTTCCAAATGTAAATGTTTCTTCATTTATTTGAATTTCTACAGAAAATAAGTTTGGGTATAATATAGAATTGCGTCGCGTTAGGTTTATTCTTGCTGTTGGAATTTAATCAGATTTGCACCTCCCGTATTTATACCCATCCTAGGTTAGAGAAAAACAGCTATACCTCACCACCTGTGTATATACCACCATCCTGTGGCCGTGATTATTTACTTGATGAAAAAACCTGGTACTCCTTCTTGTCGTTAACACCACGACGGTGACATGAAAGTGAGTTCCACGAAAAATGAGAGCACTATTACCACGTTCAGTTTATTTCGGTTGAGAATTACGGCTCATTTTATTCCTACGGATTTACTAACCGTCTGTAACCTCTGTTATTGCGGTGATAATCAAAAAAAAAAAGCAATTGTCCCGGAATATAGCAGGTTGTTAAAAGAATCCGTTTCCATATTCATTATTGATATTCAAGAAGGCTTTGTGATTTAATGTTGGCGCTTATGGTAGATATTACTAGGAGTTCTTGCAAACTATGAACTACTATGCATTATTAGTTTATTTTCAGCCCTTCATTATTCTGAATAAAAACTGTAATAAATCTCTTCAGCACTGGCTGTAGAAGAGTTTCTTCAAAGAGATTTAGGGACCAGTGCGGGGGGTGGGAAGTGGGGGAACGAAGTCTGGAACCTGGGGACGATGTTCTCACAACTTGCAAAGCGATCAACACGCATGCTAGTCAGCGGTATCTTCAAAGAGCTTAGGACCTTCGTTGTCATTCCTGGTGTTTTGGGCGAGTTTTCGAAGATGGGCTATGTTTTCTCCTTCAGATGAAGTATATGATGTCAGCATCAGTTGAAATTATATTCTATTGTGCGTGACGTGTAATTTCGGTTTGGGAAATTGAGCCAAAATCGAAAGAAACGACGGTAAACTACTTCGAGTTAAGACGTCACTAGTCAATTGTAGAGTGAGAACAGTGAGTCAGTAAAACAACACGCCAGAGTCGTATGGGTTTCTCTTATATCTTCTGTTGAAGTTGCCAGGTATGACTGCCTGCTCCACCATTTTTCCCTAACGTTTCAGCCTCCTCTGTTTAGCGTAGAAAATTAAAAAAAAAAGTAATTTTCAACTCGTGTTTGAACCTATAAATTTTTACACTTTTTCTTTTTTGGCTGTTCTTGTTTCATGATTGCCCTTTGTCTGGAATTACAAGGCGTCTTTTCCGACTTTTTTCGATATTCAATTCGGTAACCTCTGCTGTAACTGCATACAGTGTGGGTGTCTAAGAAAACTTGAGATAGTACCTGGATTTCATTTTTACAGCACAGAAATCAATTTCAAACGTCAATCAAGTTTTCAGTCTTTAGTTTAAAAGTAACCTCAGCTGTAACTGCATACAATGTGAGTGTCTAAGAAAACTTGAGATAGTACCTGGATTTCATTTTTACAGCACAGAAATCAATTTCAAACGTCAATCAAGTCTTCAGTCTTTAGTTTAAAAGATGAGTTAATGTTGTAATTGGCTATATTAAATAGGTCGAAAAGTTTTAAATGGCATTTTCTCATGTCTGCAAATAATTGAATTCAATGGAAGGTGGAGCTGTTGCAACATGTTAACATGAAACGCCGCAGTAAATGTTATTGATATGTAAACAGTTTTCATTTGACTATCTACTGGCAAGTCTTTGTATTATATTTCAACTCAAGCATTTTTCACAACTCGTGAAAATCATTACAAAATAATTTGTCAGTTTAAATGCCATGTCCATAATAAGCTCACAGGATTGAGGAAGGTGTATGTGGAAATAGGCTCTCTTGTCTGTATCATTAATTTGCTAATCACTCCTGTTGGCAATGTTTTGATGGGTTGGGATGAGCAAAGGGGGATTTTAATAGGCGGTGACTTAATTAAAACCTGGAAACTATCTTCCTGAAAGCCATACTTGTGCCTGATAACTCATTCTTATTCTGATAAACTAGTTTTGAGAAGGATGCAATATTTTATTACATAAATTTGATGTGCACAAAACTTAAATTTGACCACACTTTTATAGCCAGTAACAATCCCTACACATGATAAACTGCTAGTTGGATCAGAGGAAAAAATAACGTGCCGAACATTTGTAAGATTTCATGTAATTATTTTAATTAGATGAATATTAACTGATAGTAGGAGATCTAAGAATATTCAAAAGAATGTAAAATTTGGTTGAAAAATTATAATTCAGCATAGGCCAAATAATCAAGATTCTTAGATAAAGAAATGTGTACTAATGAAAAAGCTATAGGCAAACTTTTTTACAACACCTGCCCGTAACTGTACAACATGTAGTTAAGTCATTTGAAGTAGTCATAATCCCGGTCGGTTTTATACTTTGAAAACACAGGCACATGCAGATTCCTTATAAATCTGTAGGTCAAGCCTGCGATGTCGTCGAAATTTTGATGCTCACCCCTAAAGCGTAGCAAATAGATTTAAAGTTTCTATTCATTCAGTTAAGGTTAGCGAGGTAAAATTGAGTCCGACATTCTTACAACAACAGGTTCAAGAAATTTTCACAACAAATTTTATAAGGTTAGCCTACCTGGAAAAATCACCTTTGTGTACAAATTAGACAAGGTTTGTACTGATAATGCACAAAAGAACTGTCTGTGGTAAGAGGGCAGACTTTCCTTTCTTCATTTCAAGAAATACTGAGGTTATTATCTTTCCACAAGCTCAGTGGAAAGTGACAATGAATGAGACTGATATTGACTATTTTATTTGAATAAATATCCAGAGGAGGCCAAAAAGTGAGATATGGTCTGCACAACTCTCTTATTTTTATTTTTTAACCTATAAAGCTAAGGTATTTGTATTTTCGCTTTGTCCATTATGTGATAGCCAACTAGTAATTTAACTTTCATGCGTTAAAATATTAAAAATGTTCTCCTCATCTATGTGCCCTAAATATTACAGGGGAGGAGGCAGGTCAAAGTAAAAACATGAATTAAAATGGGAGGGCCTCCATTAATTTCAGAGCTAATTAAAGGAGGATCCTTGCTTTTCTAAATTCCAACCCTTTAAAACACATATATTGTGATTAATTCCTTAGACAGCAAAATTACATAATCACACAATTCCAAACAAAAAAGGCAGGTTTTTGACTCACCTGCTTCAACTTTAAGTGCTTAAGGTACAGAGAAATAGATATGGCAAACAGTTAAAATTAACACAGTGTGAAAGCTAAAAGATATACTTTACAATCATTACACCCTATGCATCCTAGAAAAGATAGGGTCAATTATATACCACCATAACTTCTCCCAAGCGTTCATGCTTACAGGAAAGCATTCATTTTTGTTATTAGGTGGTACTGTACTTTAAATATTTCTACCAACACAAATGCATTTTTCTAAAGTTACCTCATAGCATATTACTGCGTATAGGTCACGTAGAAGGTTTCTGCATGGGGACTGACATTTCAATTACCCCAGCAAGCTTTGATCATCAGAATTACAAGCCGAGGTGTATTTACCAAGGGCTGAAGTTTCCAAATTAGTCACCTGATTGTTACAGAGGAGTTCACTTCTTTTTGCGGCTATCGTCAGCTTGATCATCCTGTTACATGTGGAAACATCAAATGTTACTCA